TATTATTGTGCTCATTTTCTTTCAATTGTTTTTACTTGAATTCGTGAATGTCATACGCTAGTTTGGCAAAAACATGGCCGCCGTTCTTCCGTATTTTCCGTATGTCCGCTCTCTGAGTATATAGGCTCTCTATATTTAGTAAGCTTAAAGTTAAATACCATACATGGTACTAAAGCTTTTGTATACAAAAGCTTTATTAGTAAGGATAAAAAAGGGTTTACAATGGTGTTACACAGAGGTCAGTATGGTGTTCCACAGGGGTCAGTATAGAACTTTTTGTCTATCTTATTTACAACCTTACAATGCAAAACTATAAGCTGATGACTCAAAATTTATTACAAAAACTAACAGAAAAACGTTGAATGTAGCAAAATATTTTTTATTTTTATGGTATTGTCAAAACAAAATGTAAATACGCATAATAAATAACGCGTTTGTTACAATAATTCTAAAAGTATATAATATTAATCAGTGCCGTGCCAGACAGTTGGTAGGCCCCCCCCCAAAAAAGAAAAAAAAAATTTTGGGTTCTTGTAACACGTCAAGCCCGTCCCCCGGTTAAGGAGGGGGTAATTTGTTTTTAAAATCACTCCTTCCTCACCGCCCCACCCGCACCCCCTAAGAACTGTCAACCTTTAAAGTTTTATCGATAAAATTAAAAAGTAAGAAGAAAAAAAAAAAAAATTTGAATTAAATAATACCTTAAAAGGTACTGACTGGCTGCTGAACAAAAAAACAAAAAAAAACTAGAATTCACTATAACTTAAATGCACCAAATACCGGTATATGATCCTCAAAAAACGATTATAACTTGAAAATCACCTTCTTTGAGGGGGTGACATCACCACCCCGCCACCTTCCCTCTTTCTAAAAACGCCTCTGAATATATCTCATAAGGGATATAAACCCCCAAAAATTTTCAAGAAATCAAAAAAAATAACTGAACTGTTTTAGATACTTAAATATACGGGGAATTCAAAAATCATAGTGGCTATGTCTAAAAAATTTTCTAAATATTAAAATTTTGCATTTTTTCAAGTTGTAAAAAATATTAAAATTTTGCATTTTTTCAAGTTTTAAAAAATGTCGTTTTCAAATAGTAAATTTACCTCTTGTGGTACACCTAATGACTTAATGACCTAAATTATTTCTGTAGCAAAGAAAGCTCGGTATTAAAAAGCCTATTTGGCTTCTGGTTTGGTTTTAAAAAACTATCAGAATAAAAAGTTCATTTTTTGTCGAGACTTGGCTCAATTTTTATCAAAATTCTTTAACAAAAGTAAGGTTTTTTTTTAATTTTTTAACATGGTAAAAATAGATAGAGTTAAATCAAGAACAAAACGAGCAGTAAAAAGAAACGTTGCAGTAATTAATAGAAAGGTGCTACGTTGCAGTGATATTGTTAATATTGTAAATCCTCCTTCTTTAAGTGATAATATTGAATCTTTTGTTGATAATTAAACAGACATCTTCAGTACGTCGAATTCTTCTTTTCATAAAGTTGAATCGCTTTTCAACTGAACTGAATGCAAAGTTATGCCCATATGAAAAACAAAGTGACAGGTTATAGAATAATTGACTGTTTTATTTTGTCAGATGTTGTAAGCGTTCTGAGTTGCCCAACTTGCTTCCAAACAACATTAGCAGTAATTGAAAACATTAGCAAAAAGTGAGGACTTGCTTGTGAACTTTCAATTGTTTGTTCAAAATGTAAGTATCAAAATGACTTTTATACTTCTAAATTGTTAAATAAAAAAGGAAGCTTTGATATAAATACACGAACAATATACACAATAAGAACTCTTGGAATAGGACATTCTGGAATTCAAAAATTAACAACTCTCATGAACATGCCAAAGCCAATGACGCAAAAAAACTATGATAAACTTGTTTTGAAAATAGCTGATATTACAGAGGATGTATTACAGAGGATGTTGCACAGGAAACAATGGCTGATGCTGTAGCTGATTTAAGACAAAATTGTCAAAATGATGATGAGATTTTGGATATTGACGTATCGTGTGACGGCACATGGCAGCGTAGGGGTTTTTCCTCATTAAATGGTGTATTTGCAGCACTCTCAATGCACAGTGGGAAAGTATTAGATGTTGAGGTAATCGAGTCTGCAGGGGGTGCTCTTTAAATCAGAATCTTGCTAAAAAAGATCTTACTGCTTATGTCCAGTGGAAAAATTCCCATATTTGAAAAATGAACTATATTGGTTCTGTAAGTGGAATGGAATGCAAAGGAGCCAACCGCATTTTTCAGCGATCTATTAAAAATTAAAATACATTAACTTTTTGGGTGACGGAGATAGCAAAAGCTACAATAGTGTCAAGGATGTTTATTCCTGGCACTCAAGTGACTAAATTAGAATACGTTGGGCACTACCAGAAGCGTGTTGGAACCCGACTTCGAAAATTGAAAAAAAAAGCGAAAGGACTTGGTGGTCGTGGAAGATTGACAGATTCGACAATTGATCGGTTGCAAAATTTCTTTGGTTTGGCAATTAGACAGAATAATGGTAATTTAGTTGCCATGAAATCATCAGCGCTTGCAACTCTATTTTACGTAGCATCATCGAAAGTTAACAACTGGCACTACCCACATTGCTTAACGGGTGCAAGTAGCTGGTGTAAATTCAACAGCGACAAAGTAAATAGGACCAATACCAACAAGCCAGGTCATGGACTTCCCTTAGATATTGTATATAAGATCAAACCTGTGTTTCAGGACCTTACTATAGAAGATGAGCTTCGAAAATGCCTTAATGGCAAATTACAAAATGCAAATGAGTCTTTTACTGGAAAAATTTGGAATCGTATACCGAAGACAAAGTTTGTCTCCTTGACAGTGCTCAAGTTCGGTGTCTACGACGCTGTAGCAAATTTTAATATTGGAATGAAGTTGTCAATACTAATTTACGAAAAACTTAACATGATTTTAAGCTATTTTACAATAAATGGTTCGAACGCTATAAACAAAGTTCGCATTAAACGGTCGATTTATCAAGGAAGGTCACATAACAAATTGCGTCGTCAAAAGTTAAGGGCTAAAAAAATTAAGAAAAATGACAAAACCATAGAAAAAAAAAGGCAAAACATATGAAACAGGAGGTTTCTAATTTCAATTAGATTCTTGTATGTTGTATTTGGTATGTTTGTAGATTATTTATTTTTTTTACTTTTTGCGCATTTTTTCAGTTCAAGGTTTTTCAATATGCCGGCCGCAATTACAAGAGATCCACTTAGGCTTTTTGTCTGAAATTTTCAGCACATCTTCATTTCAATAAGAGCTGTGTTTTAAGTGGAACAGAATTTTAATAAATCAAGTAAAAAACCAGTATGGCTAATTTATATTTTAATAAAATAATATTTTTTCTGATATCAACTTTGGTGGAGAGGTCCTCAGAACAAAAACTTTTTAAAAAATCTGTTCCATTTAAAACACTCATGCACCTATTTTAAATGTAATACCAAAGTTTTGCCTTTTTTATTAGTTTTTGCTAAATCTTGGCCGGCGCAAATCCTATTTTCTGCTTATTTTTAGGGCTTTTTGGGGTATATGCGATACCCGTTGACCGAATTTTTTTTTTTTTGTAAAACTTCTGTTTTTATTAGAATGTTTGTTAGATTATTTCAAAAGTTTATTTCTATTGTCTATATTTAATAATGAGGGGTGATATCCCTTAATAAAATAAAAAAACTTAATGAAAAAAGTTATATACACTAGAATTCAATATGGGAGTATATATATGTAATGATTTTAAATAAGGACACCACATTAAAAAACATAAAAAAAAAAAAAATTTAACAGGCATGACAGAGCTTGATCTAAAAAAATAAAACTATGTAAGCTTCTTTGAAATGTTTAGTTTTGAATACTTTTTTAGTATTGAATCAAAAGTAAGTCTTTTGATTCAATACTAAAAAATACTTTTTTAGTATAGAATCAAATGACTTTAATGTATTAGAAAAATACAGTGTAAAGTTATCAAAATATGTAACCGTAGAAAAATCAGTTAAAGGTACGACTTTTTTCTAACTTTGTTAACTTAAAAGATATTTTTAACTTAACAAAGTTAAAAAAGGCAAAAAAAAAAAAAAAAAGTTAATATGATTTAAGTGTAAAAAAACAAGAAAGTATGTTCCCAATAAACATCGTTTTCGAGACCCTTTTTGAACGCTGCGACAGAAGCTTAACATACTATTTCAGATGATAAATTGTTTGTGACTCGCATACTATAAAAATATTTTTTCCACGTCTGCTTTACAGAAACTTTTTTTCAATTTCTTAACACTGGTAAGTAATAAAGACGCAAAGCAGTTGTAACTACACTACATAAAAATTGTGAGTAAATTTCAAAATTTCTATCATGTCATAAAAGATTAGGATTTGAAAATTGTTTTGAGTTTGTGCAGCAACTGAAATCTCCCCGCAACACACAAATTATTGAAAATATTAAAACTGATAATTTTTAAAAAAATACAACAATCTCATAATAATTAGAAAATATATAATTCAAGTATATACATTTATTGATATAAACAAAAATACATAAAGACATGAAATGAGTTACAATTATCTTGATAAAAAATATTTATATTCAATCAAATATAAATTAATCAATCAAATATAAATTAACCAATCAAATATAAATTAGTACTGTTCAATATTTTAAAAAATATAATAATTTTTAAAGAAATTTCGATTTAAAATAAATATTTTGTAAACTTTATGTTTGCATTTCTAATGTGAAATATTAAAATGTCATTATTCAAACCTTTATGATTTGTTTAATATTTTAAAAAATGATTTGAAAGACTTTATTTGACATAATTTGAACAATTCATTAAATATTAAACGATTTATATTTATTTACAAAATTTAAAAAATAAACATGTATATATATATATATATATATATATATATATATATATATATATATATATATATATATATATATATATATATATATATATATATATATATATAGGCAAAGAAAATTATGCCCCTTCATTAAATTTAGGTAATTAAATTTTTTTTTTTTATATATTGATAATAGTATTTTCTCTAACGATTGTTTGTTAAATATTTTCATTAATATGTTTATGTTTTTTCTGTAAGCTCATTAATCTGTTTTGAATTCATTGCGGTAAGTTCATTTAAAGGTTCCAACTTATGATTTACAAATACTTGAGTAGATTTCTTTACTTTACAAATTACTAATTGACCTGTATTTCCTAATGGGCCCATTATCATTAATAATGGCAGCAAAAAAAAAGTACTATACGCCCAACTTGTAAACATAATTAGCATAAGAAAATGCGCCATTTGCACGTAAACCAACACTGATGACATAACCATAACAAGACCTTAAAAAAAATTATTATATTAATCTCTTTACAATGAATTTCAAACAATCTACCTTTTGCTTTTATATAAACTCCTTAAAGTAGTTTAAACAATAACAATAAAAAAATTCCTATGACAATAATGAAATGTACATATGTAAACACTAAAACCTTTGTTATAACAAATTTAGTTTTAAAGTAAGATCTATCAATAGCATATATTCAACTGTGGTTGATGGTTGAAGAAAACGAAAAGTAATTGAGTTATAGTGGCTCTATATTACCATGTATCAAAAAAAAAAAATTTTTTTTGGCTTTAATTTTTGGTCCATTCATTCTCAATTTAAACATTTTTGTGGGTAGCATCACTGTGCTAAATACACAAGCTAAAGTATTCATCCACTTTTAGCATGGGATGTCGGAAGCAGAGTTTAAATTTGTTTTAAAGTTATTTCTTATAAACTTGTTTTCAAGGTTTACCCCCTGGAACATTTAAAAAAAAATAAGAAACTCTCATATCCCATATATCACAACATTATTGATTGCTGTATAAGATATTTTGAAGATAATCTTACCCAGTTTCAACCAATTTTCTACACTATGTTTTCAGCCTTTAGTTTTTCAAGCAACCCCTGATTCAAAAGCTTAGATTTCTTCTTTTAATTATTTTAGTTCAAATACTTTTTAATCATCTCTAAATAATATATTGTAAAAGATTTGGTAAACAATAGAAAAATTCTGAATTATAGTGTATGACCTTAAGATTATTAAACTATTATATTCTATGAGAATATTCTACTAACTACATTTTTTTACTTTTTCAGGGTTTTTTCCTAGTAATTAAAACATCAAAAAATCCAATAAGATACCAGATTTATATGAAGAAACTTTGTTACAAATAAAAGGTTCTTCACTCTTGGTTCACTACAACTTTACTCAACTTTATGAACTTCACTCTTGGTTCATTACAACTTTACTCAACTTTATGAAATTCACTCTTGATTCACTACAACTACACTCAACTTTATGAACTACATATCTTTTATTACATCTCATTTATGATCAAGCTTATCTAACCCTAACCCTGCACCGCTACACTACCATTATGCCACTGCACTACTATTGCACCAATACATTGTCATTGCACCACTGTACTGCTATCGCATCACTGCACTACTATTGTAGCACCACACTATCATCGTACCACTACACTACTATTGCACCATTACACTACCATTGTATCACTACACTGTGATTAGAGCTCTGACTGTACATTTTATTTTTACTTAGTTTTAATAAGTTACTATTTGAACAACTATTTAAATATATAAATTTTATTTTGAGAATTGAAGTAAGACAAGAGAAAGCAAAGAAATATATGATGATTTATGCAAAGAAATTATTATGCTAATTTAATGAGCGTTTATGTTAAATGAAAAATAATTTGAAAAGTTTGCAATTTTTAAAAATTTGTTTAAAGCAATTCATTGGTTAATCTGAACTGATGCATAATGAACATTTATTGATTGATCTAAACTGATACACGATGGACATTTATTGGTTGATCTAAATTGATGCATTATGGACATTTATTGATTAATCAAAATTGATTCATGATAAATATTTGATGATTAGCTTAAACTAATATATATTAAACATTTTATTAGAATAAAAAGAATACACTTTCTAAAACTATTGAACATCAATCTAAAAAGAAGAAAACACATTTCTAAAAAGAAGAAAACACATTTCTAAAAAAATAGTTATCAGAACTAAGGAAAATTATCAGTGTCTTATTTATGTCAAATCAGCCCTGTCTGATTTAAAACCAATTCAAAAGTTAACTTTTTAGGCGATATTCTTAATCCCATTAAATCGAAATTCAATTAATTCAAGAAAAGATAAAACTCATAATGTCTTCTTTCAAAAAGATTATGTTAATAATACAATTGTATAAAAAAAAAAAAAAAGTAAAGATTGTTAAAGTAACGAGTTAGTTTGTCATCAGTTAATTTAGTTAAATATTATATAACATTAAATATTTAATTAAATATTATATAACATTAAATATTTAAATTTTAAAAAAGTCTAATGTTTCCAACAATTTCAAATAATGGAATAAATTTTCAATTAAAATACAAGTTTAAAATATCAAAAACTTATCTTGGTCAGAAAAACTTATCTTGGTCAGAAAAAAAAAGCATTCTTATTTTTTAAATTATAAAAATATTGCACAAAAACAAGAAGCTCGCTCGGTTATTGCAAAAAAAGGAATGGAAAAAGGTAAAAAATAAAATTTTTTTTGAAAACAAGTAAGCAATGTTGCTATTGGTAAAGTTTATCCTTACGATAACCAAACTGACAATCATAAATGGCCAGCGGGAACAACCCTAATATGTGGAGAATCTATCCTAATGGAAAAAAAATGCACAAGTTATAATCTTAGAAGCGCTACCATAAAAGACATGCGTTTTAATCTAATTTTCCTTTTAAAAAAAAATCTAAAATTGTTCTGCATATTGGAAGAAATAATTGTATAAACAATTCCTGTGAAACTGCCATGAAAATTAAAAGATCTTGTTTCCATCTTTTTAAAATCGAACCCATCTTGTTCAACAACCTTATCTACAACAATTTGTCAATCAATAATTTAAAAGCTCAACTTACAACAATACCTTTAGTCAAAAAATTAAAACTGAGTAATTATAATATTATTGATAACTCAAATTTGTCTAATGAACACTTAGGGCAAGGTGGTCTCCACCTTAATACACAAGAATCTGTTAGATTAGCCATGAACTTTATTGTATATCTGAAGTCTATTTGATAAAAATTCCCATGTGATTTTGGATCACTAAACTTACCTACCAAGTATCAACGATAATCTTAATCTAAATTTTGATTTTTTTAAAATTTCAATTCACCTCCCTAAGGCCATGAAGGCCACTACATTCAAGGAGGCTACGATATAACTCCAAAACACGAACCTTGACATACAAGACCACTGCACAGAGAATTAAGTTGAGCCCAGTACTACTAGGGACATGGTGGGGACCGAACTCGGAACTCCTTGCTTATAGTAAGTGATTGGGGGTTGATATTTGACTAGGGTCAGGGCCGGGTTTCTGACCGGGTTGCACAAACATTTAGACATCTAAAAGTATATTTTTTTTATTCAAAATTCATGTAATATTTTGTATATATATGCATATATAAACATCATTATGATCAACATAATCATCATCATCATCATCATCATCATCATTATCATCATCATCATCATTTTCATGATGGTGATAATGATCATCATCATCATTATCATGATGATGATGCTCATCATCATCACCCTCATCATCACCATCATCATCGATAGCATAAAAGAGGAAGGCTGATGATAATAATCATGATAATGATCATGATCAACATCATCATCAGGTTTTAGTCTTCTTTTATGTTGTTTCTCTAATTTAAACAATCTAGAGCATTTTTTTTTTTTAACATTCATAAAATATGTTAGGCACTCTTTTCAAGTTTTCTTACTTCTAACACTACCATTTTCTACTGAAGCTGCTGTTTCTACATGCTGATATCTAAATTACTTTAATCTTTTCTAACAAACGTTGTTCAATTCAATGTTTTTTCTAATCTGTTTAAGATTATGCCCCTTAAACTTATCTGTTTAAGATTCTTATCTTGCTAGAGTCACTCCACATATCCTGCTGATCATCTTCTCTTTCGGCAAATACTACACCATATAAATACTAAAGTATATATAAAAATGAAAGGATATTTATGCCAGCATCTAAATAAATAGCAAACATATGTTTATATCCATAATATGTATGCATAAAGTGCATCTTAGAAGTTTTTATTCATTCTGGAGTGAAAGTTTGGAAGCTTTTATTGCTTCTCTTTAATTTTAAGTCAAGTCAACTCTACTTCACATTTTTTACCATCTTGAGCAGTTGCTTTATTAAACATTAATCATTTTTTTCATCTTTTTTACAAGAACATCTCTCTTAAGAACAAATGTCCTTATATTACTACAAGAAGCCAATGTAAAAACTAATAAGAATAACAGAGCTTAACATCCTGTCTGATGTTAAGCTCTGTTATTCTTATTTTACTAAATCTTGTATCTTATCTCAGATGGTTTTGATTTGGTTTTGATTTGGTCTTTAACAATCTCATTAACTAAAGTAAGTCTAACATTCAATTCATGGGTTTGGTATTTTTTTCAATAAAATATATCTAAATTCATGGGTCTGATCTTTTTACTTCTCCCCAGAATAAAGCAGAGTTATTTGCAAAGAAATCTTACTCTAAATTGACTCTTGAATATAATGGCTATACTCTTCCTGACAGTTAAACAGAATAACCCATTGTTAAACATTGAAAACATTCTGGCTTTCAATGCTAAAGTTAATTCTCAATTAAAAACTTCTATAATTTGTGCTCCAGAACAGATTTTCATCATAATCTTAAAAAAGTGTTCTCCAGAAATCTCTTCAATTTTTAAAAACTTTTAAAAAGTGCTAAATAAGTAGTTTTAATTTTTCAAAACTCTAGAAAACACTTTGACTTTTCTAACTATCCACGAGTTATCCTACAATTATTAGTCTTCAATCAGTTATTAGTTTTTTGATATAAAGGTTTTGAGCTTATTAGATTATTTCTTTCTAACTGCAGTATTAAAGTTATTCTTGAAGGCCTACCCTCTTCTTTATTTCAAATAGATTTAAGGGTACTACAAGGTTCTATCTTTACTCCTGTTTTGTTTCTTATCTACCATAAGAATCTTCATGAAATCTAAAGTGGCTCTATTTGCTGACAACTCAACTTTATACTCTTGTCTTGACAAAAAATCTTCACTTTTTAATTGCTTAGAACAAGCAGCTGATTCTCTCTTCAGTAACAACTCTGACCTCTCTTCTGTAACAGCTTGCAGTGGCTTATTGATTTAAATTCTGAACTTAAAATCCACAACTTTGTTAGACAACAAAACTCATTTATTTACAGTA